CTACTAATGGACAATTACTACAAGAACGCTAAAAAGCGCGTATGTTGCATTAGCGCCGATGTTCATTTCAAAAACACTCGTCTTTAAAGCTGCGTTTCAAATTTAAACACGATGTCACTGAGTAGTAAAAGCAATTTGTTGAAACCTATGTTATTTAATTGTCAACGCACATTTTTTTTAACTGGCTATAATAATGCTCTCAAATAAAATTGGACTATTCAGTTAAAATTCAGTTTATCTATAATGCAAATTTAAACACCATGTGCAACATATAACTAGTACTAGTACATATGGTATACATCATTTACATTTTTTTTTTGGGGAATATTTCTGCCAAATTAAAAAAAAACAATGACTAAGTTTTTAATTGTGGCCACGAAGTCGAGTATGAGTAGATAACACATATAAATATGATAAATCTGTGGAAAATGTGCCATGAAGAATGCGATATGTGGTGATCAGATTGCTACGCTTAATCCTTTCGATTTCTGGAATTAGTTTGAACCATACTCGATGATGGGTATAGTAGTTTCAATTGAGAGAGTAGATATTTTTTTGAAAAGAAATAAAGAGCGTTTAGCTTTATTGCAAGCAGCAGTTATATGAGCTGACCAAGAGAGGTAATTAGAAATCACTACTCCAAGATAAGTTTGCCTGTTCACTTTTGACAATGGAATGCTGCCAATTTGATAATGTAATTTTGGGTTGTTCTTACCCAAGTGCAAAACTAGACATTTTTTGGTTGTTTAGGGATATTAACCATTTTTTGCACCAATCTGTTGCATTAATCAAGCCTTCCTACAATAGTTGATGATCAGTAAAAGGATTCCCATAAATCTTTGTATCTTCAGCATGCAGCGAGCATTTATGTCGCAATATTTAAGGAAGATCTGGTGTATATTGTTATGATACTGTGTGGATGAGTGTTTATGTTAGCGCCAAAAAAAATTTATTGTTGTGATATCAATTTGGTTTTGGTGTATTGGTGGTTGTATACCTTTGCCCTACCTAGCTCTAGACTCCTCTCAGTAGTCGGTTCTATTCACTATATGCTTTAGCAAGAAACCACACACAATCACAGCTATAAATACAAAAGGTTTATTAATAAATGAATTTATTATTGTTTTGTTATCTATATGTCAAAATTTGTCAATAAGAACTGTTAAACACAATAGTCAATATTTTGAAGTATTTCACACTATTTACAAAACCTTAAACAAGATGTTATATCGATACGACCGTTATAATTAAATTTCATGTATGACTGGTTGCATACATTAAGACATTGACATTTTATCTTATAACTTCTTGTTTAACAACTGGTTATTTTTTTCTAAGATTAATATTTAATTTTACAAAGATTGGCCAATTTTGATTATGTCTGATATAGTTAAATAAATTTGTTTAATATGAAATTAGTGACTTGCTAAACTTTTTATATACTAACTTCTTACTTTTGAAAATCTGTATCAATCTATTTCGTATACGAATTTTACTTTTATTATAAAGGTACCTTTTATACGTATTATCGATAATGACTTGTCGACTGATTTCTCTCCTTTACTCTGCTTGATTGTTTTCCTTAATTCTTGTCTATCCTATCTCGCTTCCTTTCAGGAACCTGTCGACTATGCTGCTTTCTTACTGGTCTCCTAGTCCCTGCTACTGATATGCGGTTTTCTTACTGCTCTCCTGGATCCTGCTACTGATATTCCGTTTTCTTACTGGCCTCTGGAACCTGCTACTGCTATTCCGCGTTCTTTCTGTCTTCCTGGACCTTGTTTGTTGGTGCTCCGCTTGTCTCGTATTTCTTGGGTCACTTATTTTACCACTTGGTACTTTTAAATTCTTGATTTCTCCAACTTGAATCTTTTTACACTCTCTCGCTTATTAACTGCTTATATTTCTATAGGTTTTCTTTTCTTTCTTCAACAACTGTCGTTTTTCAAAATTATTTCTGTAACTAATCAATAATAATCTATTTTCTTTTTTACTATCTTGATTTTTCTTTTCCTTCTAAAGGCCTTTCCACATATCTTTTAACGTGCCATTTTCCTCTTGTAATTCACTTCACTTCACTTTCTCCTTTGCACTTATACACCCTATTCTACTTTCTTTACAATCAATTTTGCCTTATACTTCAAAATATTTCTTATTTTATAATATTATTTGAGCTTTCTAGTGACTACTGAATTCCTTGTGGATCTCACTTTAAATTTGACATTTTTCTGACATATCCTTTTAATTAATCTACAAATTGTCTTTCGATTTTAATATCTTTTATTAACTCTTATTCTACCTTATTTTTTAACTATTATAATATAATAACGCAGGTGGTCTAATTCTCAGTAACTTAGTACCGTGTTATAAATAATTATTTGTTTGAATTGTTTAATAGTAGATTTGGTAACATTAACTACAGAGAAGAAGCACAACATTAGTAACATTAAAATGGTAACATTAATTATTATTAATTCAGTGTACAATAATATAGTACCTATAGTTCTTTATATTTGTATGTGCTCCCTACTACCCATGTTTGGATTTCCTTTTCACAATATTTAGTAGTTTAGTTTAATTTACTTATTAATTAGAATAGTGTAGTTTACTGTCGTTTAGTGTTGTTTTTAAATGGTAGACGAATTCAGCAACATTGAACATACAAAGCAGATGGGCAAAACACATTAGCAGCCTCTCTACCCAGTGTACCCCAGAAATCTACTCCATCCTGAAACTTTTACAGTACTAGTGGAATGGAGACGTGATACTGGTACATTACACTCCAGGTGTGGATGAGACTAAGGCCCGATGATTGCTGCAATAGCATAACGTAAATTTTCGGTCCACAATAGATATTTTGGTGACAGACAAAGCTGTATTCAAAAGAAATGACGTGCACAACATTCAACAAGAGTTTGTTTGTATTTGTTTTATTTGTTTTTTTGCTTGTATTTAAGGTAAAAGTTTAAATTTTTATAGATAAAATTAATGCCAATACCAATACAAACTAGTGTTTAAAAGTTTTCCTTATCATGAACAATTGTATTGTTGTATACCATTGTATACATTGTACATAATAACAGTAGGAACCTGAGCATTCGGGGCAAGAAGTAGTTGTTTATATCTCATCATTTTTCTTCTTCAAACAGGTGTAGAGCAGTTTGGAACACGAGCAGAGTTTTTTGCGGAACAGGTATTTTTTGAAGCCAGAATAATTCGTACCTGTCCGTACAAAAATGTTTATTTGACCGTCACTATCGTCAATTGTACTACTGTCTAAACGAAATGATGAAAAACGTATTTGACTGCTCATTGACATGATAAGGATCCAGTTATTTTATCCGGTAGTTATAAATTATCGTGCCATGTCACACTATATGAATGGGTGGTAAGATTATCTTAAGCAGGTGGAATATAGCAAACGCGATATTTGTTTTGCCCGTGCTACTCGCTGTGTTTCTTGCTCTAGCACGCTGATGACGGCGTGGTTCTAGTCGCAGGATAGTAGAATCATAGAGAGATGGTGTGAAGAGACGGAGCTCTCAGTCAACGCAAAGAAAACTGAGATGATCATGTTTAGGAGAAGGAGGAAAATAGATTAATTCAGGGCCCCAATATGTATGGGAAGAGCCTAACCTTGGTTGGGGAAGTCAAATACTTGGGAGTAAACCTGGACAGAAAATTGTTTTGGTAACCACAAGTTGAAAGGATTATTCGGGTCTCAGGTGATATACAGGAAAGTTTTTCATATATATTCCACATTTTTTCAGATATAGGTTTTCGCTATTTTGATAGTGGCAAGTAAGGAAGAGGTAAGGAATAGTATATAGGAGAGGATTTTTATCTGTTTGAACAGGCCACGCTCAGGTCGGTTAGCTCCCCGAGGACAAGATCCGTCTTTGTTCAGGAGTGTGGAGATGCTCTGGAGTTTCTCGCCAGAGGTAGAGTTGGTTTGAGTTCCGGTAAAATCCATTGGCTAGTCTTGGAGGTAGCCCAAGGACCTGAACCAATCCTCGGAATATCATGAGGTAGCATTAACGGGGCCCTTAATAAATGGAGGTCAAAACTGAAGGATGAACAGAGGATGTAGGCAGGCCCGTAACTTTATTCATGGGCCTAATAAATTTAAGACGAGACGGCTGCTGAACCTTGATCGGAGAGCCCAAAATCAAAAAATCAAATGGGGGCTCTGATAGACAGGACATTGTAGACTTAGGAAGCATTTAAGTTTAATAGGAATTGAGGAAAACCCTTCATGTCCAAAATGTGCAGAAGAGTTCCATCTTTTGGGACAGCCTTCGGGAGATTGATACCGAAGATTGGCAAGAAGATGAGATGAAGGACATGTCATTGATTAAAATCATGGCGTTCATCAGGGCGTTAGGAAGGTTAGAGGAGGGTCAGAGGCAGACAAAGAATAAAACGGCGGGGCAGGAAAATAGGACCCACTTGTGGACTAATTGCCAGGCTAATCCTGCCCCAACTTCTACTTCTACTACTTCTTGCCCTAGCTGTGTTTGATCGGGTTGTATGTGAGCTTGTTAGTAATATGGAAGCATACTTTACGTATTAGATTCAATGCAATAATTATCACGATATCTTTTCAACAGTCACATTTTTAATTAAGTTGCCACTTAATTTTTGTACTGAAAAGACACGAAAGAGATATTGTTAAAAAATGAATGGAAAATTTAGTGTGAATGATTGTGTGCATGATTTAAATGGTAGATTAGAACAACACATATTTATGTAAATAAAGATATTCGATATTTATTAATATCGCCATAATTTGGCATCACAGTAATTATAATTTTAATCGTCAACTTAATCAGCGTTATTATCTGAAATTGTTAACATTATAGATACACGACGAATGCGGGTAAACCATTTAGAAGTAAATAACAAATAATTTATTCAAATAATTACAAAATGTCAAGATAATAAATAGCACATCAACAAATTACAATAAATAGTTTAAACAATTATATATAAAAACGTACGTGTAGGTATATTAAATAGTGACTAGTGCTCTAAATTCTTAAAAATAGATATAATAAAGCTACAATCATTACATTCCGTATTTTGGCAATGTACCTGCGTCCACCGTTCTGTAACTCAAAGTGGAGTTCTTCTTCAGAGTGTTCCCCTTATGGGGGTAGAGGTTCAAAGGTGGTAAATTGGGGTGTTCTATACGCGTAGGGGACGAAACTCTTGGTCGGCTTATGGGAATACCCCTCCTCAAGGTATTTGTACCCAAACCGAGACTAGCACAACGCATATCGGTATTGCCTAGTATCTGATAATGAGGAGACTCCATGTTTTCCATGTTATTCATCTGGTAGCTCTCGATCAAGGGGGTGGGGTCCTCGTATTCGTAATCTACGAAGCCAGAATTGTCAAAACTACATTTTTCCTTAGCTAGTTTTAATGCCAAACCTTTTTGGTACTGGTGGTAGGAGATGGGATGTTTTGGTATCACAGGTTGTATGTTTAGGTTATCTATGGTTTCGTAGTGGTCGTCGTTTTCGCCGTAGTCTATCAAGTCGCGGGGGTAGTTCTCTGAAATAAAGTGCTGGGTGCCTCTGGGCGTCAGAGCCGCCCACACCATCCTGTTGTCTTGCATGTTCGGTGCCCCGTGGTAGAGGACTGTTTCTGAGGGGTGGACCAGTTTGTTGCCGTTTATGTTGTTTACTGACGAACAGTCCCGAGATTCGTGGTTTTTTATTTGTCTGTGATCGCGCGTGTGAAGAGAACATTCGTTTGAATTGAACATATTCATCCTAGAAGAGAAGGTTTCATTTAGTTTCAATTTTTTTGTTGATAACTGCATTAACATGCTTGTAAAACTATAGATAATTGAAGACAAAGCTTAGGAAAAAAAGATGTTTTATTTTATTTGAGGTATTAGTTACAGTTAATTTTGGCCACCAATGAGGTAGCAGAAATTTAAAAAGATACAGAGCTGGTCAACTCAGAAGGAAGTTACGAAATATTATGCTAATTATCAAGGTTATTATGTACTCTTTTGTTAAAACTTATAAAATGTAGAATGGAAAAATGAACAAGTCCAGACAAAACAAAAATTAAAATAAATATTCACTTGATTGTAAATTAATTGTTAAACTAAATTCTAATAAAATATTATTGCAAATTCCCATTCCTCCTCTTTCTGATGTACTATACAGGGATGACCAAAAGTACGGAATAAAATTTATATCTTTTGAATGAGTTAATTTTTTTTAAAACGCCGAAACACGTTAACTGATTTTGATTTTTTCCCGTCTTTCGGTTATGTAATAATTAATTTTTCTTCAACCCCCTAACCCCCAGCTCCCCTACTTTTTTTTTCAAATGGAAACATAAGGCGTTAGGGGGCTCGTTGAAAACCGAATCCAGCCATACCAAATAAACAAGTGTTATTTTTTCAATAATAATAAGTTTTNTATTAATTACAGTTTTTATTCAAAATGTCTCTCATTTTCATCTAAATAGGCCTACTTTTTTTAAATATTTAGTAAATTCAGCACACATTTGTTCATAATTGTCATAACCCTATTTTCCATTTATTCTTTATTTTCTCGAAAGATTTTCTGTTTTTTTTTATCAAAATGGACAGTTGTCTTCTCATTCTCATAACATTCTACCTCTACCTAATTTTCAATCTAAAAAAAATGGTAACGATCATAGTTTTAATACATTTTTTATATCAATATATGAATGAAATAGATATTTGTCGTTTTTAGAATAATTTTTTTATTAATTTACAACGATAGACAGCGCCTTCATAAATGTTTACAAGCCACGTGACTGTCGGGCTTAGACAACCAACGCTAATAATTCTGGTAACAAGAATTCCCAAAATTTTGGCGTTACCAATATTAATGATTCGTTTACAATGGTCAATAACGAATCGTTGCATCTCGTGAAAAATTACATCAATGGTGAAACATAATTTTGTGTTTTAATGTAATCTGATCTTCTTGTTTTGATTTGATATTGACATTTATATGTTATATCTGTGCCTTGGACAAACTTGCTAAATATGTATTTTGGTTTATTTACTGACCCTTCACATTCGATAAAGTCACACAAAGAAACATTATAAAAATTCACATAATTGCTTCTGTAATACTGTACGAACATTCGAGAAAATGTAAACTCGTTGTATTTAATTGTTAAAATAATCACAACAGTGTGTCCCACCACGAACTCCATCGATGGATATTCGGGAAACCGCTCGAAGGATTTTTTTGAAATTATGATGGTGCGATACGGACCGTGAGGCTTACCAAACGGTCAATCCTAAGTATGGAGTATGCTATATGTTTTCAACTTAAAAATAGATGTTCTTTCCAAAAATGCAATAATATACAGGGGGTTCCATTTAAAATAAGAAAGTTAGTATCGACTTCCGGTATAACCGGAAGTACGATGACCTTGAAAATATTTTGTATACCCTGTATAAATGTGAACAATGTTCATGGCAATATTTTTTTCTTGCAAGATTACCATGGAACCAATGCTCATTTATCTTTTAAACTATTAAATACTAAATGGATCTACCAGCTTTTTATCAAGAAAGAAGATACCATACGATATAAGCAGTTGTATAATGACCATCTCGTTCTAGGAAATGGATATTCTTTTTAACTAATTGTTTCTTAAAAGGTCTCCAAGAAGTCTTAGTTTGACCACTATGTAATTCTTCCTATGAAGGACTGAAAAATAAAGTAGACAAAGGACGATCTAGTAATTTATATGACCTGAGAGAGAAAATATTAAACTAAGGTCTCGATGATGGTGTATGGCCAAAATTAAATGTAACATCGTGTATATTATGTGAAAACAAATTGGCGTGTTGTAATATAAAGCATTATTCTACATGTTTCAAGGTTCTTACAATGCTCTGAAAAGTAAATTATCACTGACATATGACAAAACTAATGAAAATGTATTTGCTTTAAAAAAAATTCATGGTATTAATTTTTGGTAAAGTAAACCTGAAACATTTTTGATATTTTTAAGACAAATTTTCTTATTATTTCTAATTGCAATCATGGGTACAACCAAAGGAACGCAGAGTGGAGCTGGAAACATTGAAAAGGCTTACTAAGAACATGAAGATATATTTTTTTATTTTACGAACCTTTGTAATAAATGTATATTATATTGTTCTATAAGGTTGGTTAACCTGAGCGGAACACTACGCCCATGATTACAGCTATGTTGCAAAATGTATTTAATAATGCTGTTAATATGTATACTTTGATTTTAATTAAAGAAAGAACATTTGAAACACATAAAACAAAAATTAAAAAATCCTAAAATATTCTTTACGCATAGAGTGAGAGGTTAAAGATTTGAAAAAAAAACAATATCTATACCTAATAGTCAATTAGGTACTAGGTACATAAATCTAAACCACTTAATTTCGGCAGCATAAAGTGTCTTAAATTGAATTATAAGTTAACATATTGCAGTTGTATAAGAAAAATGTTCTGCAAAAATATTTTCCAAAAATCAAAAATTTTAAAAGTGCTGTCAAAATTTTAAAGTACTAAGACGATAAGTTTTATTTTCAGTTATATCCACATACATATATTAGAATAAATACTATTTTTTCTCTGAGTTTCATGAAGGTGAGCAAAATGTGCAGAATGTACAGGGTGTTTAAATATTCAAAGTCAGTCTCTTAAAGGCGGGCACTAAACCCTATAGGTATCCCAAAATTTATTTTATTATATTATAAATGTTCATCTCAAAAGTTACGTATTTAGGGATTTTGACCTAAATGCCATACCTATTTATAAATAAATGTTGTCTGACTTTAAGATAATAACTCTCATATTCGAACAGTTTGTGGAATAAATAAAACAAATGGTCTAAATGAGGTATGTTTAAAAAAATCCGCAAAAAATGTTTAAAAAGCTGTTTGCTAGACTAGAAATTAATCTATGACTACCGGAAGACGTTACCAGGATAGAAAAGTGAGTTTACAAAACTGCGTATACCTAGAGTTTGTGTAAATGTTATATAAATATTTTATCTAGGTTATCTAGGTTTAGGTTCTTAACGAATAAGAGTAATTATTTTTCGATAACTTAATTACGGAATTTGTTCACACAATAAAGCCTATGTTTGGTTAGGGCTTAATAGGTATGTAAATAAAATATTGAGACATGTATTTGAGTTAAATATAACAAATCATCTATGTACAAGCGATCACAATTAAAACAGATGCTTCCAAGTTAATACCAACTATACAAAAAAGTGTCCGAACCATTTTGGTGTTTAAGCAATTGGTGGTAACCCGATGTGGTTTTATCATGTTTAGTTTCGGAGATACTTAATACTTTTAAGGATGCTGCAAACGTCACAAATAACAATTGCAGAGCCTTCGTAGATGATTACAAGCCACGTGACCGCCGATCTTAGGCAACCAACGTTGCACTTTGGTACAGTTCACTAAATCTAAGCGTTCTAGCATAACCTTGATCTTATTGCTTCAATAACTTTTTACCAAAATTATAACGCCAACGCGAAGAAAATAAAATTACTGTTTCAAACAAAATTATTGGTCACGTGGCTTGTAATCATCGAAGGCTTTGTACAATACAATAAATATATAGGATGATGTCCAGTTAGAAAAACGCAGAGGAAATAGTAACATCCCGTATAATCGAAAATTATATCTGAAATGTGAAGAAATAAATTCATCTGGTAATTGATTTAACACTTTTTTATATTATTTATATTATTAGACCTGTGGAAGAATCTATCTACACGCTGTAAGAGAAAAACTGTTAAAAATACAAAAAATTAAACGGACGAACCACTTAATTTAGAAAAATAATAAATTAATTCCCAGTAAGGCCTTCTGGTTGTACTATCGTTTAAACTAAATTTAAAAAAAAAGTATAGCTCACCTGATATTAAATTGCATAGTTTAGTGTAATAAGAAACAAATATATTTTGTTTTTAATAAGTAGTAAGTAACACAGAGTATGATTTCTTAATAAACTTACTCTCTACATTTCAGGAGAAACATAGCTAAAAGGGCTCCTAACAGTAATACTCCAATGGAGGAAGCAACTAACACCAGCAGCCATGTGTCGTCGATTCCAGACCAATTTTCGACATCTGTAAAAACAAAATCGGTTAAACGATGTAGAAAGTAAGTAAAATTAATTACGTACTTTTCTTTTGGAACATGTGAAAAAGAAATGTAAAAATTAATTTGGTTAGGTACCATAATTTCCAAAACAAGAATGTCTTTTAGAAAATAGAAGGGCCGTTTGCAGATGGACGTAAAAACGATGACCGTCCTGACGGACTTTTAACCAAAAGAAGTTTTTTTAAATTTTTTACCATTGCATGTCGAATGATAAAGATAACGAGTATTAATAAATAAAGTAAAATAATCTTTTACCTTATCTAGATAATAAACCGTAAGAATCAGTATTTGATATTATATTAATTATTAAATGTAGGTTTATCTTTTATTCAAAGGGTAGATTTAGATAATAGATAATTTAATTGCTATAGTTGCATAAGTACTCTTCAGCAAATGAAATCATTCTATTTCTATAAATATTTAGTATCTACCTATGTAATAATCTTCAGTGTACTTCAAAACAGGTAAAAGGATATTTATGAAAAGATACTATGAGATACAGCTCTACTTACTTAGAAACATAATTTAGCTATAATTTTTTCACCAACAGAACAATGCCTCCTCTGTAGAATAAAAAAATATATGGTACTAGGAAAAGTTATTCAAAATGAATACTTTTTTTGGCAAAGAAATTTTGTCCTCAGTAAAATAAAGATATTTTTAACAACTTTTTATATTAAATTTTGAATACACTAACTCTTTTACATTTTAGTTAATTACACTTCATTGGGGTAAAAAATGGTCAATTTCAATGTTCCAGGTCAAATTTCCTCTATCTGAGAACCCATTTTGTACATACTAAATAGATGAGTTCATGTAAAGGCGGCATATATCCAATGAAATGAAGAAATCCAAGTATAAATCTTATGGAAAGGTTTAGTCCATTCTTTTCTGGAATATGAGTGGACCTACATCAAAACACCATTCGAAAAAAGGTGATGCTGTTTCTATGTAAAGACATTCCTTCCCCCATGGAAACATATACCCTCACAATGACCTACAACTGTTGGTCTATTTTGAGACACAAATGTTGACATGATAAAGAACTCTCTAGGGGATAAAGACTTAAGAAAGCACAACATTGCTTTCTAGTTGTGCATATATCTAAGAAAATTATATGCGTCCTAAAAGTATTAAATTTGTTCTTAGTTTTCGAAGAGTTTTTTTGTAAAATAAGAATGTAAAATTTCATTTTATAGAGAGAAGATAAGTCTGAAGGTTTTATAGGTAACTGTCAATCTTCAGACTGGTTGATACGTCGCTGGTTTAGACATATAGAAGTTTTGTGAAGGAATATCTCGTCAGTATTTCTTCTATATTTATACGAGGTTTGATCAAAAACTAACGAAAATTGTTAATTTTCTCAAAAAGTATTTATTTAATCACAATTTTTATCTCATCCCCTTCAAAGTAGCCCTCCTGTGACATTATACACTTATGTCAATGTAGTTTCAAGTTTGAGAAACACTGGAGCAACACTATCGTTTTGAGCACGCTTTGCGATTTTATCTATCTCATCTATTGTTCAAAAACGTTGTCCTTTAAGTATTCTTAGTTTGGGAAATAGGAAAAAACACAGGGGTCATGTCCGAAGTCGGTGGTTGCGGCAAGATATTGTGTTTCATCAAATAGGAAAAAACACAGGGGTCATGTCCGGTGTCGGTGGTTGCGGCAAGATATTGTGTTTCATCAAGAACTGTTGGATAAACAAAGCGGTATACGCCGGGACGTTGTCGTGGTGCAAAATCCACTAGTTGTCTCGTGTTCTTGTTGTTTTCTCCTGATTACCTCATGCAAATTACGCAAAACTTGTAGGTAGTACTCCTTGTTAACTGTACGACCGGGCAATAAAAATTCGTGGTGAACTATTCCATTGTAGTAGAAGAAAACAGTTGGAAGGACCTTCACATTTGACCAGATCTCACCTCATCTTCAATGTCTTCTTGGTCTTCCTGAAAACGTTTGTACCATAGATACACTCATGACTATGACATAGGATCATGATCAAAGGCCTTCTTTAACATTTTGAACGCTTCACTGCATTTAAACTTTCTGATATGACATTTCGCCATAAAAAAAACACCAGAAACACTGAGGTAAGTCTTATTAATTTATTTGCACACAGACTAATCGTGGCAGCTGCCTAAAAATTGACAGGTACGTCACTGATAATGCTACTAATACTCAAAAGAATAATCAACTCGATAGACCAGATGAAACAAGCGCAATTTGAAAATTCCGCTTTAATATGGCGTTTCAGTGCATGTTTTGAAATCACTGGTTATACATGAGTCATTTTCAAATTACAAGTAGTTCTAAGTCATCGTCTCCGGTAAAATTATCTGTATTTTTCTGGATTTCTTTCATTTATTGGAGTTCTTGTATTATTTAGATTATTTAGAAATTATTTGCCTTGTGCTCTTCAACAACCATTTTTTCTATGATATTATTTTAGTGACTAGGTATCCTTCTGATAACTTTTTCAGTATTTCTGTTAGTATACCACTTTCCTTTGAGATCGTAGATGATGTGGTTCTTCGTACAATTGTTCTGACTCAAATGGCTCATGCTCGATGCACAAATGTGTTAATACTACCTTATTTCTTGGATGATAAGACTTAGTGTTCCGTATTCGTAAATGCTGGGTTCTAGGAAGCCATCCAGACACGGAAAGATGTTTACAGGAGAAGAAGGTCCATACACTTTTACAAAATCTAAATTCACATCCTCGTCTTTTACATTAAGCCACTGATAAAATTATTCCAAAGCTTATTGGTACTGCTGTAAATAATTACTCAAAAGTATACAGGGTGATTCACAACTTATCCAAAAAAAATTGGGAATAGATGCGGCATGAGAAATGGAGTTAATAACGTAAAAAATTTTTTTGTAAAATTCTTATAGTTTCCGAGAAAAAAATTATTGAAGTTATAGTACATTCAACCACTACATAGCTGGACAACTGTAGTCTCTAGCGTCATTCGCAATACGCGTGGCGAGCCATGTGACTCCTAATACTGAAATCCGTCGTTGCGGTAGTTTTTACCTGTTATCTGTGGTGTTTACAACAGCTTTTTAGTAGTTAGTGTCAAAAATGGTCTGCGTNGACTCCTAATACTGAAATCCGTCGTTGCGGTAGTTTTTACCTGTTATCTGTGGTGTTTACAACAGCTTTTTAGTAGTTAGTGTCAAAAATGGTCTGCGTGTATAGCAACTCAGAGTTGACGGATATCGTTTTAATTTATGGTGAAGCAAGACAACATTTGTATTATGGTGAAGCATTTGTGTTATGGTGAAGCAAGACATTTGTGTTATTTTGAACAATTGTTGTTATAACATCGGGTATGTCAAATGATTTTATTATTTAAAAACACAAATTGATTTTATTAATAATTAATAAAGGCAAAAGCATTTGAATTTGCCGATATAAAATAGGTGCTATAAAATTATATTTATTTCTTTCCTTGCGAAAGGTTTTGTCCGTTTTTATCACACCGCCATGCCGGTCGCATTGTGCGCGGTCAGGTTTTACAGTGGACCAGTTTCCAGTGCCGTGCAGAAGTGTATTTTTAAATCAATTTCGAACTGCCCTTTTTCATTTTTTCTTTACAAAATTGTATTTGTAAGAGTCCCCTATACATCCAGATTTTTTTTTGGATAAGTTCTGAATCACCCTGTATATACTGGATCTAGTCTGGTATAATTGAAGATCAGTGACATCAAACTATACATCAATATTCAGAGCTAGTATAAATACCGCCTAGAGGACTTAATCTCCATTTCCAGAGTTTCTTCTGAAAAGAGTAATATGTTTCTTGAAAGCAATCCAAAACGTCAGACAGTCTAAACTGTCGACGAGGCAGTCAACTTAGAAATTGTCTAGGAATGATTATGATCATTATCCCATTCCAAATCTAATATCTCTAAACAGTATTCTACTGTTATTTAAAACAACACTTACCTTTTCTTGGCATTTCAATGTAGTCTCCATTGTCGGGAATTCTGCTGGAAGAGAGTACGGACTCGCACAGTTGAGCCGCCGAACAGGGGGTAGTATTGAGTAATAAGTCAGGCAGGGAGTGTTGGAGAAAAGAGGGAGCAGGGGGTGGAGGGAGGAATAGTATGGTGTCTGGAGGAGGCCCCATATCGAGGCATTCTCCAAAACAGCTCATCACTTGTTAATTTGTCACCTGTAACAAACATATTCCATATAATTTTTTACAGAAATGAATTATTTAAGCAAATGTGACAATGGAGGTAAAAGATATAGCTGAGTGCTACATCGAGTTGTCACTGCTACTCAATACCTAAGGCCTACGTTACGAACAAAAAAATAAGAGCGACCTGTATTGCAGGCGTCATGAAACCATAGCCAGTATTGCCACCATTACAGGAAACTATGACTCTGTGGGCTATCTGTAATATTATCACTTAAAAATGTTTATATCAACGTTTAAATCTGTTGTAAATAAATTACTTTTGAATAAATATTTTATTGAGGTTTGCATTCAAAACTCTAGTTGTATTCGTATAAACAGAAATTAATCCATAAGTGTAGGTACATTGTACATATACCTACAAGATTTGTAAAAATAAATCATATTTTTTGTCAAAGAAGGTAAAATGAGATAAAGGTATTTTAAATGGAATGGAAGACTTTATACTTATGTATGTAGTTTAAACAGCACAGTAGAAGAATGTAAGTTATTTTTTTTTATAAAAAATCCAATTTTAACGCTTTGTACACGCCAAAGAAAAATAATCTTGGAAAAAAAAATTATGTGAAAGAATTTTCCTTTGCGCCTTTGATTCGGATGACATTCCATTAAAATTAATATAAAATCTAAAAATATAAAGGTTTGCATGATTTCTAGAGAATGTCAACATTTATATAAAATAATACCTATTGGTGCATACAAAATGTACTCATTAATTAATTACTTATTTTGTAATTTATATTGTGTATTTTCTGTTAATAATATTTCAGAATATTTCTAATATTGAAAACATAGAATGTGTATTGCCCGAAACACAAAATTTGGGGTTGCTGAATCCGAATCCGAGATCCGTTTGAGCCGATCAGGTCTGCTAAATACTTTCAAGTTCTAAACTCAAAACACATTAAGCATTTATGCGTTTTAAAATTTGAGTAACAATTACGATTAAAAAAAGCTCTGGGGCCTTATTCTTGAGATTCTTCGAATGCACACGTATGCGAACGAATTCGAAGGTTATGCGATGATCAAATATTCGAATGAGAATGCAATTTCATATTCTCGAGGATCCTTCGAATAGTGCTTTGAAAAGTCATTTGTAAAAGTTTGGCAATGTCGCATTTGCGCGGGTTTTGACAGAACACAGAGCAAAATCATTTGTGCTGTGGTCAGTTTCACAAATTACTGAACTATTTTAGTCAGTTTGTTTTTGTTAGATTGTCTTATGAGGTACATAGATAACAATTTAACATGGTTAAACTTACAAATTTTTTTTTTTTTTCAATCGAAATAAACCATTTTTTCTCAGGATTACAAAAATGAATTGTTTTTAGGAAAATATGTAAGTATATTACAAAAATAACGTAAATGTTGTACATTTCATATCATAAATTTTTTATTAAAATACCTACCTAAAAAAATAATTGAAAAAGTAGCCAATTTGTACTGTAATGTAACTATTTCTTAAGTAAACACAAAATGGTGAAATACAGAAAATAAAAAGCATTGTGGAAGTCGACATCATAGCAAAAATAAATTTAGGAGTACTTTAATGTGTGCCATTTTTTTGTAGTAGGACTACCTAACATAGGTTAGGAAGGTTAAATAAAACCCACAAAATATACGAATGACAGCTTTGATCTTCGTAAACAATACAAACACAAAACACAACTATAAAATGATATTACAGTAAACAATCGTATGATTTTTTGCTTATTCGATCGGTAGATACCGCTCGATGTATATTATTCGAATTTATTCGCATGCGAATATAACATATTCGATTCGAAAGGAGTCAATAATACGGATTTGGAAGATTTCATTCGAATGACGTCATCATTCGACTGACCACCATGCGAGGGCTCAGGAATCGAGGCCCTGAACTCATGAATCTTGAGTTCTGACATGACAAAATTCCGAGTAAAATTCTATCAATAATTAAGTAAACTTTAAACCAATGTATCCGTTAATGCCTCACGTACATTAATTTACACAGAGAGTCCGTGTCGATTGAAATTATTGAAAACAGTGTTTCAATATACGAGGTTTTTTGCCGAATTTGGATTCAGCGAATCCAAAAACGTGTAGATATTTAGATTTATTTTGATGGCAATTGATTCTCTACATTTGACCTTGAACTAATCTTAACCCAGGGCTAATCGGCTCAAACGGACAACGAATTCGAAATCAGCAACCCCAAAAACGTGCAGATATGTAGGTTTACTTTGTTGGCAATTGATTCTCTACATTTGACCTTGAATTGACCTTAACCTATACATAATCGGATTAAACGAACACCGGATTCGGATTTAGCGACCCCAAAAACATATAAAGGGTTTTTTGGCGAGCCAAACCACATCAAACCCGGTTAGCTCGAGTTTGATTGTGTTAAGAGTTTGAGTTAATATTTGACAGAACTCGCAAAAATTCTTTCGGTTTGGATATCTAATCAATAATAAAATCGTAACCTATAATCTATGATAGTGCTCGTAGCTCAAGTTGTTTGATTATTTCTTATATACTATAATTGTTATTCCTAATCTGAAATGCACATCCATGAAATAACGTTAATGTATAGATGGTTATTAAATCAAAATGGGTTTACCTTTTCACAAATATCTATTCCCACGTAAATGTATCGTCAAAAAGGAAGTTAATAAAGATCTATACAGTACAATATAGAATATGCATATCTACGATTAAAGTTATTTGGATCCTCGATTACTATTTTTTTATTATCAATTTTAAATATTTACTTTGTATTTTTTGCAAAGTTAATCCATTATCAATTTTTTTTATTTACAACTTATACCTATCCAAACCTCTAAAAAAACGAAGTAGTGACTAGGTACGATGGTACGAAACAGAAAATAAATAAACAAAGATAGAAATATTAACTTAATATCCAAACCAACCCACAAGTCCGGTTTGATGGTTAGGCAAACTCTGCCAAACCGGGTTAACTACATTTCTCGCCAAAACGTCAAACCTCAACAAACTATAGTTAACCGGGTTAGCGGTTTTCTCGCCAAAAAACCCTTATAGATACAATGGTCTTGTCTCTCGGACCTCTCACTTTTCTTTTGTGGGGCTGTGTAATCAAAGTCGTTAAAACTTATTAAGGTGGCCATATTCCCGGCTGAGAAATAGTGAAATTTCTGGCGTTTTTAGGTACTGAAATCTTTAAAAGTAAAACGTGTAGAACAAAAGTAAGCACAAAAATGAAATCCTTGACGTTTTGTTTATTCATTGTTACCATTTAAATTTACTCAAATAAAATAATAACTAAAAAAAAAGCGTTTGTAAAACAGGCGTTTGCTGTTATTCTAACCCCACATTTTAAGAATTATTTTCACGTACTTATAAATGAAAGTAAACAATTTTATATGTAGGACTAAGCAAGTAAATGTTATAAGAATATTTATATGTGGAATTATATATAAAAAAGTTAGTATTTTCGTAGATTTCAGTACCTAAAACCTTGATGGTTTGTTCGTTTTTTGCACCTGTTTAATCGTTTTACTGCGGCGTCTTTGAAAATACCCAGATGGCATGACATAACATTCCTATTATTTGATAAGCTTTAGATTATTCAGTTATTAAATGTTTGAAATTATTTGTCTTTGCGGAAAACACTATTTAAAGAATATGAGGCCCTTAAGAACTTCTGGATTTCCAGACATAAAAAGAAGTGAATTAGTTAATTTGCTCTTTTTGTCCTGTTTTTTAATGGAAAACAGAAAAACTGCTGTTAATTTTGGGTTACCATCGGTTCTAGTTTAGTTTTCATTATGGAAATGTATTGTATTTATTGTTTAAGTTTCGAGCAACATTATTGGTGAACAAATGTTTAAGATGAATCATTTATTTCTTTTCATTTTTCCTTTTAACTGTATGTTTTTTAAGACAGTTTGTTTGCGATGTGTATGTGTTAATAAATGTGAGTAAGCATGGTCCACCAATACAATGAAAGTCAATTAATGGACATTATACTAACATATGGAGTCGCTGATAAAAACTGTGGGGTTAACTGTACATCTTTATGTAATACTTAATGTGTAACCACTTGTAAACAGTGAGCGGAGCTATCTATAGAGTCAGCGTTTCCAAAAATGTTTCCTCGTACTATAGTGGTAAGTCAGTAGGTACTGAAAATAAATATATCTATTTACAAAACGTATTTCTGTCTATTGAGTTTTCTCATTTCTATTTATTTACCTACTCTTCAAATTATTATTCATATACCGTTCGAGTTTGTAGACATTCTGTATATTTCTCGATTAGAAGTAGTTTTAGTTCAATTTCAATCAGTAAAGTGTGACCTATAGTCGCCCAGAGATTAATTTATAAAAAAAATAGACCAAAAAATAGTATGGAACGTGCCTTTTAATCAATGTTATCCTCGACTGCTAATGATTTTACATCAAATGTTCGAACTACGTACTTAACGTATCAGAAAAAAATGTAGCATAACGACTTTTAAGCCAAAAGTTCAATGCCACTTCGAATTTCCATGACTAACTAAACTAAAAAGTGGTACCAACTGCAATAAGAAATAATTTAATTCTAAGTAAGCATTTTTTTGAAAGGTTTACAGAATTTCAAATCAAAATTTAATATCTTTAGTCTTCATAAAAACTGTATTTTATTGTATTGTAAAAGAAAGTACTCATTTAATAATATTTAAACCACTAAAATATATCTTTGTCGAGATTCCAATCCTTAATTATTATTTAACCTTGACATCTACTATTTAAACCTACTTGGTATTTTTAACTTTAACTGTATCTAAGGCTAAATAGAGCTCGGACTAATTTTTTTTTGTTGCATCTAAGTAAACATCATGTGGCTTCATCTTATCAATAAGAATGATTCTTTGTAATAAGCTAGATATAATTCTTCTAGAATATATTTACTAAAACAGCTTATACTTATTTTTACATGAATGATAACCAAAAATGTGATAATACATAATGGTAATTTTTGTAATGGCATTACGTAATATACATCTATTATCAGTTTTTGTAATAAATAAATTATATTATTTTTAAGCTCGATAACCTGAATGTTTGAAAATATTTTTATATTACTGATTATAACTATCTTTGAATTTATTAGCGTTTTTATTTTTTCGTTATTTTTATTGACAAATTTTTGTTTAATTTTCGTTATTTATTTATTACTTTGTTAAATTTGCTATATGCTGGGTGACACAGAGATAGTTGTCAAAAATTTAATAGCCACTGGATCCCTTAGGCTACCAAATGGTGAACCTTTTCGTTCGTAAAACTCAGGTCTATCTTTAATCCTTAGGTAGCTCGTTAACGTAATTTTAATGGGTACAAAATATCGGAAAATTGAGAATTTAAAAAAAAATGATTAGACAAAAGTTGTTACCCTTATTTGTTAAATACCTGGTTAAAATTTTGCACATATTTTTTTAAGATTGTATTTTTAAAATTTTTTTCACCGTATGAGAGGAGAATTCATCATAAAATGAAAGTGGTACATATTTATCTGTTTAATTTTGATATTCTTTATAATTTTAAATGTGTCGTAATAGTTTCTAGATAACTAACTTCCCATTAATTATTTATGACAAAAATATATTTTCTACCACTTCGAGTTTCATCAATGCATTAAAATGCGTTAGGCAATCATATTTACAGCTGTTTGTATAAATGGTTACATAAGCATGTATTTATCTGCAATATTATCACTTAAAAATATAACAAAGGTTAAATCTATTGTAAATAAATTATCGAGTTTCATCAATGCATTAAAATGCGTTATGCAATCATATTTACAGCTGTCTATATAAATGGTTACATAAGTAAAAGATGTCCCTATAGAAGAAATGATTAAATTACCTACACTTGTATATTTTCACACGTAGGTATGGTAGATGGTAGAACGGTATTTATTATGAATGCATTGTATGTTACAATTTATTGTTTCATATTTTTTTCTAATATTTTTACTAGGTGCATATTAAAATATCGCGAAAATCCTTGTTATTCCGCTTTAATATCAACTACATACTTGAACAGTTTCATTACTGAAAAAATTGTTAGTTCAATTTTAGGAATATTTCTACTTTAATTTTTATTACGGAAACTTGTGCTTCTATTCAGAAAATTATTTATTATTATTAGTCTACAGATACTTATAGCAAATAGGCAACCAGCAATACATTTTTATAGATTTTTATTACATAGTCTAAATATGAATGAATAACAAATAACAGACCTATTTTAACATTGACTTTCTATAAATATAATTTGAACTCAAATTAATTTACCATGCCGCTTGTTCAAAAGAGCAAATTACAAATTTCTCTACAACAAAAAGTAATTTGAGTTTCAAACTAACTCCATTTTATAGAAAATATGCGTTAGAACGGAGGAATGTCTGTTATTTGTGCATTCATTCATATCTGAACAAACTGTGTAATCTAAATAAAATGTAAATCTATAAAAATGTATTGCTGGTTGCCTATTTGCTATAGAGGCCCCTTAAGAAAAACCATCTATTCTTCTAAATTCTTATTTTAGCTACATGTTTTTTTTTTATGAAAGGACAATATGTCTGTGTGTGTATTAATAAGTACGAATAAATATGATACAGTAACATGAAATAATGGATTGGTGGTAACGTATGGAAACACTGTCGAAACCTGCAACTGCATATACTGCGTGTACTTTAGGTTTTTTTAAGTAGAACACTGAGGATTTGTTATTTTTTGAGCTCCTCTCTTTTTTTATTACAGCCATATATACGTGTCATATATTTGCTACGATAGTTTGCATAATATTTTGGTTTATTTACTGATCCTGCACATAGTCAAGATTGCCGAAGCCTCGGGGTTCTGGGAGCTCGAGCAGTCGAGCACCCACACCGATTTTGCTGTAGGTGCTGATTTTGTATTTGTACTGAATTTATTATTCACTTAATTATTAAATATTAAGCATCGTCCATCGACCCATCAGTGTTAAAAAGTGAAAGATTCCAGACAAAAGTTTTTATTTTGTAATTCCACGATAGTGCCAGTGTAATTTTTATAAAGAAGTAAAAAAATAAGAATAACGTGATGATTACATTAAAAACGAGATTCTTATTTCTTACTTTGCTTAATTTTTTAGTTTGTGCACAAACTAGTTTTACAATGAACCGAGAAAACAATGCATTTACTATTTCCGAACGTGTCGATATGGCGTTAGTGTATGCAGCAGCCGGAGAAAATGCGTTCGCGGCTACTAGATTGTACTACAACGTCACCCCCCCACGTGCAAATACAATCCTACAGTGCGTTGAACGGCTGCGAGATACGGGAAGTGTTATTCCTCGTGGAGAAGGACGTGGTCAGCAAGTGAACCTTAATGTTAAAGATGCAGTGTTGGAAAATCTTGACGAAAACCCCACAATTAGTACTCGACGACTCGCACAACAAGTAGGAGCCTCATCTCGTACCGTACATCGCATTTTAAGGTGCCAGTTGTTGCACCCCTATCATCTGCAACCAGTTCAACAGATTTTACCCCCGGATTGTGATCAACAAATGCGTTTTTGCAGATGGTTTTTACGACAATGTACTAATCAAGTAGACTTTCTTGCTTATGTTTGTGTAACAGATGAGGCGACATTCACCCGTGATGAAGTAAATTTCCATAATATGCACATGTGGGCCGATGAAAACCTCACGCGATTAGGGAAACTCATTTTCAACATCGGTTCTCGGTAAATGTTTGGGCTGGCATAATAGGCGATGTACTTGTGAGTCCCTATTTCTTTGAGGGACAGCTAAATGGGCCAACATATGCTGACTTTTTGGAGAACCAGTTGCCTGAATTATTGGACGATGTGGCATTACAAGTTTGAGCACGTATGTTTTATCTTCAAGATGGGGCTCCTCCACACAGTAACGACACTTTTGAATGAAATGTTTCCTCAGCGATGGATTAGACGCTTTGGTCCTGTGCCGTGGCCACGTCGGTCACCCGATCTAACTCCAATGGATTTTTATCTTTGGAGTCACTTGAAGTCATTGATTTACAATACTTCAATTGCTACGGTAGAAGAATTGCGAAACCGTATACTTGAAGCTGCTGAATTTTTTCTAGAAATGGTATGTTTTATTTCATGGAGAGTTTGTTTAGTACACGCAGTTGGCAACTACAGATGCTTACGGATGTGGTTTTGTTTGCGAACTCTTGCAGTAACAACATTGCATTTAAGATACTAATTACTATTAATTATTATAATAAGAAAATATCGTTTTTTTTAAATATCTGTTTTCTTAGTTTGTACATTTGCATTGAAAAATTCCCCAAAAATTGAGAAGTATCTTTCTATCTTTCAACGAATTTGTTTACGCGGCTGGTCTACAACACGTAACTCATCGTACAGCACATGCACAGGACCGTTCCAGAGAAAATATTTTGATTCATAATTGAACTTTAATTTACAACAAAAAAAAACGCAAAAATACTTTTCGTATAGGACTTTTCTATTACAAATATCGTTAGGAAGCCTTAGTTTAATTTTTATAGATTATACACGCCACACCTTGTATAATAATGCATAACTTAAAATATTTAAAAGAAAAATTCTTCACACATGTTCAAGCTATAACCTAAATTGTTTTCATAATTCTTTGCCCCTTCATTTTTTGTAATTTACGTGCAAAGTGGGCTAATACATTTGAAACAAATGGGCACCCGTCATATATTTACGAGCACATTTTTTAATTTCATTATTTTTTTTTGTTAATTATTTTAACTAAAATATGTATATCTAGACTAAATACCTACATGGACTCACCGTAATTTTGGCTACCTATCCAAAGAAAAATTACCAATCTCGAATGATAACAGAAAACAATAAATAATCTCAAAATATTTACAGGTCGAACACCTCCGGTTACCTGTTTATTTATCTGACGGCTTAAGAAAATAAATAACTCTACATTCCACCAATCGAAAAGAGAAACACTTCAAACAAACAACCCACGTACCTTTTAGATGTATATTTGATAAATAACTATATCAAGACACTATTGAAGACACCCTACAGAGTCGGGTGGTGTGTGGAAATGCGTGCGATATCGATTGCGGAAGTGGACGCATGCGTCGCGACGCCTGGATGTCGTATTGATTCCTCTTTCGCGAGATCAAGTGCATGCATTTCATGCAGGACACATGTATGGGATTACGCCTCTTTTTGTCCTCAACAGTCGAAATGACGGATTGGGGCGTACAGGAAATGGTTGGGCATGGCGAGACGTGCGCCCAAATTGTCTAATGGAGTTACAAAGCCGATAACATATAATTTGACATTTTAATAAAGTAGTTCGTGAAGCCTTCCTTTTGTCGCAACGCTCAAACTGCGTAGCCCGACTATAAATCGACGTAACTAGTAAATTACAGATCTCGTCGACAAATAGAATGAACGTGTCTGTCAATATTTGCATGAATAATTGAAATTAGTATCAGTTTGCGGGGGTTGGCGCGTTCCAGGGAAATACTTGAGTAACATAAAAGCTTCTTTTACTAGAAATATACATAGTGAGACATATTTTACCTGGATAACCTCGAAAGGTGATAATATTTTAGAAAATAAAACCACTTTTTATAATGTTCTTCATTTCGAAGCCCAATAAGTGCGTGTTGTCCTCAAAAGTACTCTTTCAAATTCTTATACAGGGTGTTTTTTGCCACATGTCGGTTATGTCAAAATGAGGTAAATACACAGATTTGTGTTGAATAAAATCTAATTTTAAAATCTGACCTACTTCAACATTACAAGGAGCTATCTTTTGAGAACTGTTGATTTTCATAGATGTTCCATGTATCCCCCATTTGCTTGCATACAAGGTTCAGCGCGACGGAGCGAGGGCTCCGTCATTGCAAAAAATTTAAATATGAAGCACCGTCTAAGCGTCTAGGCAATTCAAAAGGTTCTATTAAAGTGTCATTAACGATACCGGCCCACAACTGTTGCTGAAAGGCACCGCGACGTATTTCGTGTGGATTTTCGATAGTCCAGTGGTGAATGTTGTTGACGTTACGTACACCATTTCGATTGAAACATACATCTGTAACAAGTATTTGCGCTGTAAATTGAGGATTTCTTGCATATTCCTGAAGCAACCATTCGCAAAAACCTCGACGTAGTGGAAAATCCCCACGAGTAAGCGCTTGAACACGTTGAATATGAAATGGGTACAACTGAGCTTCTCGTAATTTCCATAGCACAACAGGATGCGAAATATTTACTTGGTGTGAAATATTTCTAGTGCTACGATGCGGATCTTCTTCGACGAGATCTAAAATCATTTCCTCGACATTTAAAATTCTTAGTGGTCGCCCTGGGCCACCTTCGCGACCTCGACGCGGTTGTACTTCACCGGTGTCCAAAACTTTTTGTGCTACAACAAATGTTCCCGGTGCGGGGACACGTCGTCGTCCAGGATATCTTGCACGGTACACTGACAAGCTCTGCGGACATTTTCGTTTGCTTCGCCATAAATTATGAGCATATCATAATATTCGTGATTGCTAAATAAATGCGCCATTTTCAAAACAAAACTTGGAAATATGTCTATTAAATGTACTCTCGAAAAACAGCACAGCAATCACTACAACAAACTGACTTTCAAATACAGTCCGGCTTCATACGAAACCTATAAACTCGTAAAAAGTGTTACAGAATTTTTTGTAAGTAATCACCGAGATAAAATACATGCATTTCGGCAGTTCCAAAGCAGTTTTAAACACATTATTAATTAGCTTCTTTCTCTATGACCTTAAACTTCCGACATCAGTTAACTCAGTTTTTGCTCCTTTTTCACTCCTTTAAATGTTTGACATAAGTTCATTAACACCCTGTATTTTACAATATCTCATTATAAGTGGCCGGAGATATATATGTATTTTTCATAATAAAATTAATAAGAAAAATTCGTAATTAAAAAATTAATTTTAATGAGTTAAATACTATCATAAAGTCTAAAATCGCACTATTCAAATGAAAATTCGAAAAACTACTGAAACTTCTGTCGTCTTTCAATAAGGTTGGTGTTGTTGTTGTCCGGATATTTGGGCCCCATGTTGGGTACCGGTTCCATGTCGCGGATCTGCCTTATTTTGACCCTTATTAGGCATAGTTGGGACACTTAGGGAGCCATGTCGTGGTACATGATTTTGTCCACTTGAATTCTCCATCAGAGGCGGGTAGTTGCCTTGAAATAGGGTAAACGATCTAATTTGTTTGGTTGACTCTGGTACGGTGCTCTGGTATCTTTTATCATTGTCTTTGAGTACTAATTTATCTGTGTGTGGCCTTCTTAGACTACCTACATATATGGAAAATTATGAGCCTGTATGGAAGTTTTAAAGCTTGAATTTAAATTTGCCTGCTTGAAGCAGCTCTGTATGGTAGCTTTAAGAGATGTGTATCTCTTAGGATCTTTACCGCAGGATGCATAACGCCTGGGTGGTAGTGTACTATAAAGCAATGGCAGCTTTTAGCTTGTGTTAATTTTTTAAGAGAAATCCCAATTTTAATTTATATAAATGTATGTATTTATTTAGATTTTGTATTCATTCACAATGCGTATAAGTATATAAGACTGATATATTTAGCAAAATATGAAATTTGATGTGCATAATAAGTACTGATCAGGATCAGTCCCTGGTGATTAAACTGGAAGGCATTAGAGTTGACGTTCGATCACCGTCCTCGATAGTTCCGCAGAGGTCCTGTACCGAAGTCCGTCTTAGGTCTGGATCACTGGCTTATCTCGATGGATAAAAACCCATCTTTAGAATATCGCCAACTGTTTTTGATAAATCGACTTATGTTTTTGGCATAATACTTTTGTTGTTATTTTGTGGCTCCCCAGTTCGTATTCCGTAATACCTATTCGGTAGAGTTTTCAGTTTCCGGAATTCGAAACTGGGTTGAATTTTGTATTTTCACAGCGCATAGTGGTGGCTGTTCTGCCAACAATATCGGTCTCTGACGGTATCATCTGCTGCGGTTTCAGTGTTTGAGGCGGCTGGGAGCTTCTTAGCGAAAATTTTGGAAAGTTAGGTGAAAAATTTAATTTCTGCACCGCATCATCTACTGCTCGTGAAAGGTAGTTTGGGTCCCTTCAAACGAGTTTCTGTAGTTTGGCCGAGATTGGTCCTGCATTGAGTAGTTTACGATGGCTTTTTTGAAAACTTGAGTGCATTTTTCAAATCCGTTAGGAACCTGGAATACAATGAATAAGTATAACAAATAAAGTTAATTAAAACATTGGTACGTAAACAGTTGATTATTTTCAAAATGTGTTTTCCCATCAACATTTACCCAACAATCAATCTCTTCGTTGGTATTAAAACAGTTAACACAACTATAACTACGCCACATTGAAAATAAATTAAACAATGTATTGCAATACTTTCCAATTGTATAGAATAATTTTATATAGAAACACTAACTTGTTTATTACTATAAACAGCAACGCTCGTCTCGAAACTCATATGACTAATTGAACATTGACTTTATAAGCTATGTAGATGTGAATAGCAGGTCACATATAATATTGCCGAATAGGACGATATTTCAAAATTACTATGACATATCGTCTAAAAATATTATTCTTTATCTAATTCCTTCCTTCATATAAAAAATTAAAGCTTAAGAGTTCTGTGTAACACCGGCAACGCTGCATTTGTTTGTCAAAAGGTCTGCCGAGAAAGATTTCACCAATATATTAAGAAAATGAAGCGTCGGTACCAAGACAGATGACATATAAACATGTTAGCCGATTACTGCTGATAGTTAAAACGAGATTTACCATTGAAATCGAGAAAAGTAAAATAAATCCAATTCGTAAATCTTTTAACAAAATAACAGTGAGATTAGTGATTTCATGTGATTCATGAAGACAAAAATATCTTTTTTCCACGGTCGGGAGTAGAAACCAGTTTCTATGACATCAAAATTAAAACAGAAGTAGTCGATTATTCCCAAGGGAGTATAATGCTCCCAAGGGAGTTTACATTATGGAGAACGTTTTTCATGCAAAAAAAAGATAACATTGAAATTATTTATTGACATTTAAATTAAATGTTACATTTGTACAATTTTCAAAATTAATATTAGAAGGAATATTACTTTCGCTTACATTTACAGTTTTTGTGATTGCGCTAGTAGTGGTACCTACTGAAACCTGATTAGCAATTTTGGTCTTATTTTCAATGGAGTTCTCGACATAACCCTCAGCGACTGTCGTTGATTTTCAACCAGCATGACGCTTTATTGTCGTGATATCCACACCAGCATCTGCCAGTAATGTCGCTGAAGATCTTCGTAAGTAGTGACCAGTATAACATGCAGCATCAGGTAATTTTAAATACGAAGCTACTGCACTCGGAATTTTTTCCTTGGTATTCTTGCCAACTGGCTGCGAACTACATTTTCCTGCTTTGTAGTACAAAAAAAGGCGCTTATGCTTGACGTGGGGAGGACGAAGGGACAGGTATTTTCGAAACAATTCAAGCATATTTCCCACATCGGTAACCACAAAGGTTCGTGGAATCTTTGTCTTAGTGTTTGAAATTTTTACAATCAAGGAAGAGCCTACATCCTCAATATCATCTACAGTTAAATTGACTAGTTCATCAGTTCGATAAGCTCCGGCAATCCCCAGAATTAATCCAACCTATAAAAAATCAAAATACTTAATAATTGAAATACCTAACAACAAAAGTAATCTTACCTTAATCATTAAGAATTCTTTGTCATCTGCACTTGATAGAAACGGTCGATTTCACCCTTTGTCAATATTTTCGATTTTTTCGCTTGATATCCGTCACCGGTTCTTTTCAAAAATGCCATCAGCTCGGGGAATTTGCTTATATCTATGTTGTCGTAAATTATCAAGCATGACTTAACCATAGAATATTGCGCCCATAATGTGGAAGACTTGTAATTCTTTGCATTTTCACTGAAGTATGCCAACAAAACATTCTCGCTGTATACTTGAACATTTTTCTCGGCGCACCACTTTTTGAACCGATTGTAGGCTATATCGT